CTGCCCTTTCGTTAAAAAAAAAAAAATGTCTTAGTCTAAACTCAAGGGTTATTTAATTTGATGGTACTAAAGATTGCTAATTAAGGTTGGTTATGCATCAATTTAACTTGATCATCTACGAAAAAGTGATTTTTACTTTTTACCAAACAAGATATAAAATCTTGCAAGTATTTAACCCTTTTTTTTAAAGCATTACTAATGAAGATATACATGACAATGTGGGTATGTTTTTTGAATTGTATAATATTTATTATATCATGAGATGGGCCGCCATACTTACTGCAGAAAAATTATCATATTCGAACGAAAAATTCAACAAAAAAGTTGTTAAATGGAAATTCCAACAGACATTTCAATTTATAAATTTTTAGTGGGAAAATCTAACGGATACTGTAATGAGGAGCAACACTAAAATACTTCGTTAGAATTAAAACAACCATTTTTTCAAATGTTCATTATTGTAGGAATTTTGTTGAAATATGCAATTTTCATTAAATTTTTTATTCCCGCTAATAATTCCAACAATTTTTTTTCGTTAAATTTTTTTCTAACTAAAGATAAAACATTAAGATTACAATTAAAATATATTATTGTTTAATCTTTTGTTGTAATTTGATCATTTTATTTTTTATCGTAGTGTCGAGAGTGGAGGTTAACCCCCAGCCCGCGCTGGGTGTTATCTAAATAAATAAATAAAAAAAAGAATTGTTGAAAATTGAAGTGGAATACTTTAATATCGAAAGTAAAAGGATTTATTAGAGGTCAGTTTAATTTATTATTAGAGAGTATAGCTATCAAAATTGTGTGTTCAAAGTTCAAACACACAAGTAAGGGCTAATTTTTACATAATGTAGCATATCCTTCCTATAAAAGACCAGTTCAAAAGCCCGTCGGATACAATTTAGCCCGTTTGGCAAATGGGACCAGCCCAAAAACACTATCTCTTTGGGCCTACAAACATATGATTTTGAGTATATTCATATTGGCATCAGGGTGGGCTAATATTTTGACAGCTTTGATCAGCAATTGCAAAATTGTAAGATTATTAAACAATTAATTAATTACTAATCATTTGATTATTAATTGGATAAAATAAAATCAGAGCGCCAAAAGGCGAACATTGCTTCTTTATTTCCCCCTCTCTCGCACTAGGGTTTGCAGAGAGAACTGTTAATCTATCTTCTTCTCGCGAACAATGGCTTTTTGGGGTAAGCCTGTTCTAATCTTCTTCTCCACCTCTTGGATAGTTTGTTGTGCGTGCTTGCTTGCTTGTGTGTGTAACATTGCTTAGTTTCGTTTTTTTTTTTTTTTTTTTTTTTTTTTTAATTTTTGTTTTTTTAGTAAAACATACTGTTTTCTATGTGTTTTTTCAGGCGTCGAGTTGAAACCTGGGAAGCCAATCACTCACTATTGCAAAAAGGCTAGAGGAAGGCTTCGAATTTCTCAGGTAAATGTTTGAAGTTTTTTTCTGGATTTGCATTTCGAATGAGGATTTGTTGACGGGTCATAATTATGATGAGAGAGATTTTTTTTCGAAATTTTATGATATGTTATTAACTGGGATTCTGCCAGAATGTTTATTGCTGTAATTGATTTGGTGTATTAGGCAACTCTTGGAATTGGAGATGCTACGATCAGTTCAACAGTGCAGTGTAATATAGGTACAAGGAGTCCGGTTATGCTCTGTGTGTTGATGCCTGGGAAAACAGAGGCTTTCCATTTAGATTTGGAATTCGAGGAGGCTGACGATGTGGTCTTTTCTGTTATCGGCCCACGAAGTGTGTATCTCACTGGTTATTACCTCCAGAAAATTCAGAGCGTATGTTTGCACAATGAGTTGTATCCTTATTTTGTGTTTGTTCTCTTTTTATGATGATAATGTCGTTTGAGTTTGTTGAATCTTTATTTGATTTGGTTCAAAGCTTCGAATTCTTTGCTTCCTTTACTTCTTTGTTGGGGTGTGAGGTCGGGGAAAAGTCAAAAGCCAGAAAGGAAAAGAAAAAGGCACTTAAAAAAGATCAGCAAAATAAAAAAGCGCTCAAAAAAGGAGGAGAAAACCCACACCATTCAAGCAGACGAAGATAACAACACTGTTCTAGGAGAGGATAATGTGCACGAGGTTGAGGTCTTCACTATTGTGTAAGAACCTTGTGTGTTTGATCTATCAATGATGGTCTTTCCTAATGTTTCATCTTTTTCGTGTTGAGTTTCCTTCTATAGATGAGAAAGAGTGAGCTGGAGCTGGAAGGAATCAGTGACTATCAATGTGATTTACAGCATGTTGAAAACCAGACTCAAGAACAACCGGGGTTTGAAGAAGAAATTCATACTGAAGAAATTTGTGAAGAACATCATGAGATACCAAAACAGGGTAACTTAGTGGAAGTGTTGCCACATGGAGACAACTCTAAGGATGATCTTCAAAAAGAAATGGGAGAAATACAGATTGACGAGTCAGTATTCATCCTTTTTTTTTTTATCTAGATTTTTCTTCTCTTGTTTCATTTCACTTGCATATATAATAAAAAAAGATCACTAGGTAGGAATTAGTCATTCTCTCCACACGCTGAAATATTATTTAGGTTGAATCTGACGACCGGTAAACAATGATTATAATGATTATAGTTAGGTTTTGTACTTTTGAACTTAAGGAGAAATATTACATTTTTGACAGTTAGAAATGAAATCAATCAAGAGTTTATGTTAGAACTTGAAAAATAGTATAAGAAGATAATGTTTTGATCTCTAGCAGTGTTATCAAGTATTTCCACTTTATATTGTTTATTTTAGTAACATAAATATCTTCTTGCAGCATCATAGAAACTGACCACCAAAAACAGACCATATTAAACGGGGGGTTAATCATTGAAGAACTAGACAGTGGACCACATGATGCAAAAGTAGCCTCACTTGGTAAAAAGGTATATTTTTGTCGTCTAGGCATTATATTGGTTATCTTGTTCTTATTGTTCTTATTTTATGATGATGCCACTTACTGATATGGTTGAATTTGAACTCCGATCAGGTCAAAATTTATTACACGGCCATGGTGAAGGACACAGGCCATGTTTTTGATTCGAATGTTGGTAAAGATGCTCTGTGTTTTCGGTTGGGCGATGAAGCCTTCATTGATAGTTGGAATGTTGGCATTGATGGTAGCTACTTTTGAAGCCTGCTTACTACTTTTTTTTGTATTTATTTATTTATTTTCTTCAGGTTTAATTTGGAATATTTGAACATGATATCACTCAGGTATGCGTATTGGTGGAAAGAGGAGGCTTATCGTCCCACCTTCAATGGGGTATGTCTTGAATTATCTAAAGGCAGAAACTGCTATATGTGTTGAATTTTTGTCCAGAAGAGTTCTTTTTTTTTTTTCCTCCCTTTTTGATCTGCAGTTTCCATCTATGTAACATTTTTTTCGATTGTGGTATCAGTCCTGGAGATAGCGCATTGGGAGAAGATGTTCCACCGAACTCATGGTTGATATACGACATTGAGCTGCTTAGTGTACGAAGATAATCTCGTTTGGTCTTGTCTCATCTTCAATCTTTTGGATTTTTGCTGCTTAGTGTACGGACATAACCTCTTTTGCTTTGGTCTTTTCTCATCTTCCATCTTTTGGGTTTTTGCTGCGTAGTGTACGAACATAACCTCGTTCGCGTTGGTTTTTTCTCCTCTTCCATCTTTTGGGTTTTTGCGTGAATGGAAAGAGGCGTAGATTGAAATATAAGGAATAGGGTCTAAAGCTAATGGTCCAGCTGAAAATACATTTTAGAATCAGAACAGTTTGATTTTGTTTTGCTTTTTTCTTTTTGCTTTTATGTTCAAACCTCTATTAACATCTTGATCATGTTAAAGTATTCGAAATCTCCGTTATGCGCTCAACAGTTTTAGCCATGGGGAAAGTTGATGCATTCCTAGTTTGCATTTGTTTAAATTTTTTTAAATATTTTACGGAAAAATAATATTATTTGATGCTTTAAAAAACTTTTCAACTCCTTAATATTGAGGGGCTGCAATTGCATGAAAATTTGCACGTGCAGTTGGTTTCCTTTCTTGCTATCTTTTGTAAGTCTTCTGAAAGAGCATACACCTTCTTCACCTGTCCACGTATTACACTAACTGTTGGTTCCACGTATTACACTAACTGTTGGTATAGCACTCACATGGGGTGGGGTCTACTTGATTTTTTAATTTAGAGAAAATTATATCTTGCACTAGAAAATTCAAATTTATTTGCACCTATAATTCCCTTGTATATTTATTAGCATATAAACCAACATTAGCAAAAATAATTTCAGTTTTACTAGAATTATGTTTAGATCTCATATGTTGACTTAATTAATAAATTTACTAGCTACTTAATGGTATGAGTTCATTACCAAAAAAGGGTTCTCGATATATATGGTATGAGAATTATCCCACTACCCAAAAAACCGTCCACTAATTTCTTTTCTCTTCTATTTTTTTGCACTTCATATATTTTCTTCCTAACAAAACTATTTTGCAAAACCCTAAGAAATCGATACATTTCTAAAAATGGCAAAAACAAAGATTGGAAGAAATCCAACAATTGGGCGCCGAGTCCTATCCACATTGAAGATTGAGTTCTCGGCTCAGAAATATAGCGTGCATCGTCAGTATTCTCTGCAATATAGTTTTATCTGCAGATTAAAACCTACATAATATATGCAAATTATACACAAACATATCTACAGATTATATGCAATCTCAGTAAATATAGAACATATACATATTATACCTAACAAATATGCATAACGTATACAGATTATACACAAGCACATTCTCTGAGTATATACAGATTCATTAAGAACATAACATATACATATTATATACATAAAAGGTACTGATATAGGATATTATACTCACAAGGCTAAACCGGTCTGCTGACCGGTCGAGAAGGTAATACCGTGAGGAAGTCGAGTCGAAATCGACCAGTTAACCAGTCGACCAGCCAAGTGGTCAACCAATCTATCCTTCGACCAGATAAACGGCCGAGCAGTTCAGTCAACCTCGATCGGTCGACCACTTCGCGGACTTAACACTTCATAGATCGGCCTAGTCACAGGCGCGTGAAAGAGCCTCTAACAGAATTTCAGGAGAATATTCATCCAATGTGGAGGAGAACACATGTCGAGAACTTACTGGTTGATAGCGATAACCACCTCTGACAGCTCCCAACGTCCTGCGCCACCTCTGACCTACGCGCTGCGTGTCAGAGTACGGACGGGCAGCTTGGGAAGCCAACTCCAGTATATTTATACACATACTGACTTAAGCATCTGAGGCTCTTCACCGGATACAACCCCCGGTGTGAGAGTATTTGCAGGTTTCCGACGTTCTACCGGCGAGGAAAAGAATCGATATACCCCAAACCGGACCAGGACGCTCACACTTGCATTAGGTACATAATATAGAGATTATACACACATATCTATAGATTATACACAGTCTCAGTAAATATAGAACATATACATATTATATCCAACAAATACGCATAACATATACAAATTATAAACAAGCACATTCTCTGAGTATATGCAATTTCAGATATTACAGAACATATTATATACAAGACATATACAACATATATACATAACATATACATAAAATAAGTACGTAATAAATTATGAAAACTTAGATTATATCCACTTTCTTTTCTTTCCCAACTGATTTACTGCTCTGCGTGATTGTATGAAGGTCGGATTCCTTCGAATCCGGCCGTTTTTAATTCACCACAAAATAAATGCACTTCAATTTGGTAACCATGCTAATAAGATATGAGATCTCGTATAATTGCAAAAATATGTATATTCTTGTGGGATCTCGTATACTTGCAAAATATGTATATTCTTGTGGTATTCAAAAAATTTCACCTTAAATTTATTATAGGACGTTTATAAACCATTACAAGAATACTTATTTTTAATTTATTATAGGTTTATAAACCATTACATAATACATACAATAAATTTAAATTTATATATAGTTTCTTTTCAGTGTATTATACTAGAAAAATCAGTTTATTATACAAGAAAAAAAAATATACAAGGTTTATTTTTAGTTTATTATAGTTATAAAATTAATACTTTTATATTAATTTCAGAATACAAACTATTGATAAACATTATAAAATCATAGATAAACATCAATTAACATTAAAAAAAGCTACTTAATAAAAGAAAACTTTAAAATATTATTCAAGCTCCCAGCTTCAAAAAATCATAAATAAACATCAGATAAACATCGAATTAACAATAAAAAAAACTATAATTTTTTTTTTTCCATAAATTAACTCACGTAATGCAATCATAGGTCAATTAACACTAAAAAATCTACTTCATAAAAACTTCCACAGATTATGCAAGCTCTCATCTTTAAAAATCATAGATAAACATCAAATAAAAATCGAAATAAACACTAAAAAAAAAAACTACTTTAATATATTATTTCTAAATAAAAAAAAAAAGGTAATCAGAGCCATCGAAAGAAATAGGAAACGCAGCATCACTTTTTCCGACCTTCGAATCCCCAGTTGTAATTTTGATCCGACGACTTCCGCTTTCTTTCGAAACTACAATTTTTTCTGCACAAGTTTTCATTTCCCTTCCTTTTTTTTTTTGCATGTACACCATCTGATTTCTTACGATTCTGAGCACAATCACATTTATAATCGTATGGTATGTTAGAAACGTATGAATTAATTTCGTACGTAGGTGGGGTAATTTTCTCATACAAGACCAGTTCAAAAGCCCGTCAGATCCAATTTGGCCCGTTTGGCAAATGGGACAAACCCTGGGACCAACCCAAAAACAGTACTATCTATTTGGGCCTACAAACATATGATTTCGAGTATTCATATTGGCATCACGGGTGGGCTAATCTTTTGACAGCTTTGATCAGCGATTGGAAACTTGTAAGATTAAACAATTAATTAATTACTAATCATTTGATTATTAATTGGATAACATAATATATATATATATATATATATATGTATATATATATATGTGTGTAATAATTTCATATTCTTGATTTAGTGTTACATTGTTAAATAGGTGAGTCTACTTAACTCATACAACTAATTAAAAGGAACTATAATTTCATATATAAAATTAAATTAAATTAAATTAAATTAAAGCCTCAATGCCAAATCTAGCTGGCTAATTTCTTCCCCTTGATGATCAACACTAATAATCTCACCTCCATCGTATCCACCGCTAATCCAATCAACATGGCAATAATTCAAATCTATTCCCGCTAGTCCATGGGCCCATAAGTCGGGTCCAAAGTCGCCGTCCGATCCGGCCCATCGCCTCGAACCCAACTGATGAGGCCTAACAAGTGAGCTCAACTCTCTACTTTTCCTGGCTAAGGTTCTCTCCACTTTGTGAGCATTTTGATGCCCGCCAAGCGCTTGAGAGCTGTAAAATTTTCTACTGCAGTAATTACAAGAAAACACCCTTTGCTCGACCGGGCTCAATGGCGTCGAAAACGGGTCGGCCACGAGGTTACTCGGGTTTATAATATTATTTTTCTTGCTTTTTCTTGATGATGATGAGTAAATAATATTCATGGCTGAAAGTTGTTATATATATTGAGCTTAAATTTGGCTTTTTCTTGGAGGGGTTTTGAAAAGTTGGTGCAAAATTAAAGAGTGAAGATAGGTTTTTGAGGAGGCTAATTATTTATAGTCAACAAAGCACACACACTACACACAGTAAGAGGGGTAAATTAAAGAGTTAAATAAATGGTGAAAATTATTAAAAAAAAAACACCACTATGTTTTTTTTACACTTTCTTAATCACCTTATGACAAAGGGAGATGACAAATTCAACACTCATTACTAATTGAAGTTATAGATGGAGATTGGATCCTTGACTAAATTAATTAATTTGGTCAAGTAAAAATGCACCCTAATATTAACAAAAATTTAACATGCTATATATATATATATATTAAAATAATATATTCAACACTACTAACAAAAATCCTACTTGACAAACAATACATTAGGTACTTTGAGCAAACCTAACTAATGGGTAGATATTTATTACTACTTTTTAGTGGATATGCATACATTTAAATTACTCTGTAAAAACAAAATAAACAAAAAATATCATATTTTATAACATAAATATATATATTTTTATTATAGATAGAACTTGTGGATTTTTGTTCACTTTAAAACCTCTATGAATTTAAAGTACATCTTATTGAACAATTCTAGCAAACAAACAAACAGCTATTCTATTTTAAAATTCTATAATCAATGAATATTATTAACGGTTAATTCAATAAGAATACCTAAATTTTATTGTTCATATATGTGGTCAAGAAGTAAAGGCTATTTGTATGTAAGACATAGTTGAAAATATTTTCCAATCCAAATTCTATTGGACTAAAATTAAAAATTAAGAGTATTTATAAAATTGAATCTCCTATATATATATATATATATATATATATATATACTAGTACTAATGCCCATGTACAATATAGGTGTTGAGTTAATGAATATATGTGTAATGTTATTTATGTCTATACCAAACCTAACTCCAGAGCAAAAATAATACAAAAACAACATCACGAAGCATAGATTTTCGCCCATGTCAGCATCCGAAGCGTGAGAATCTGTCACTTAAACTCAACACGTTTTGAATTAATATATAAGGAGAGATATATATATATAAACTACAAATAAATAAATAAACAGCAAATGCATGCATCATTAGCATAGTCAAATCACATGCTATTTTTACACTATCATGTCATTGCAAAATTGCTCATCTAAGTTTCTACACTTGCAAATGATGAGCTTGCAGGTGACTATGTCTGTAAATGTGTATAAACAGCAGCGCATGGGACGAAGTCCAATTAATAAATACCGTCCACTACAAAAAGCCCATTAAAAGCAAATTGATTTATTTAATTTAATTAATTTGGACTTAAAATATTCAGCTGGATATGGGCATACTATATCAGCATAGCATAACATGGTCATTTTTTTATTTTTTATTTTTTATTTAATTGTTGTCACTTGTTGTAAGCATTGTTTTTCAACCTGGCCTGCCCGGCGGGTCGACTCGGAACCCGGCCAACTCAAAGCCGGGACCGGTCCGGGTAGGCTATTTGGACCGGATAACAACGAATCCGGTCAAACCCGATCAAAATCCGGCCAACCCCGGCATTGACCCGGTTGACCCGGGTAATTGACCCGGCCGGGTCAACCCGGTTGACCCGGTCCTTATATATTTTTTTTTTTATTTTTTTAAATATTTTTTTATACAAAATAAAAATTATTTAAATATATTGATATAGTAAATATTTATTGTAAGATATAATTTTTTTAACACTTTAATGTACAAATTTTATATGCAAAACATTTATTTTTGTTATTTTTATGTATATTTATATGTCAAAAATACTATATATATATAATTTAATTTTTTTTTGTAAATTAATTATCCGGTTCAGCAATTGAACCGGTGACCCGACGATTGAACCGGTGACCCGGAGACCTGCCCGGGTCGATTTCCGGGCCGGGTTTAAAAACTATGCTTGTAATCAGAAGCAAACATAAACATATTCTATTAAATGCTCATAATTGAAAATGAATTAAAAAATTCATTTCATTTCTCTTTTCTTTACAGTCTACTAACATGAATAAAAAATAAAGTAACATTAATTATATATATATATATATTTTTTTTTTTAATAAAGAATATTACTCATCTCATCACATATATTAATTACCAATATAATTATATCCATTTACAATCTCAAAATTCTTTTACTTTTTCAATAAATATTTTTATTAATAAATAACCTTGTACCTCTTCATCTCACTTTTTACACATATAAAATTGTTAGAAATTAGTTTTGAATAGTTTGCACCTCTATGTACAAAGCTTACACAATCCAAAAAAAATAAACATAACTTAATACATTAAATTATAATAGTTATCAATCATTTTATTTTTCACAAAAAAAAAATATATATATATACTTATACTATAATATTTTATACTTAAATTTATATTATATTTTAAAATATAATATTATTAAATGTTACATTTTTATTTGTATTATGCATTTTAGAGTAAGATATATATATTATATAAGAATATGTATATATTTGTTGCAAACAAGGTTATAACTGAGTCAAACTGGTCACCCCAACAAAATACACACTCTACAAATTTTCTAATGAAATTTGTACCCAAAA